TATCCTTAGCCAGGTCTTTTCTTGTCCAACCAGAGGTATTGAAGCAAGGTATCCAAGAACCTTTGTGAAAGATAAAAACAAAACAAAAATATTTGAGACAAAGAAGAAATATTGTTTTAAAGTTTGTATGGTAAATTTTTAAATAGTAAATACTTGAATACTATGTAGATAGTTGAAACAACTGTTCTTCCCAGACCAATCTACATTGATATACTGTACTGCAAGCATTACCAATAATGATGCAAATACTGAAAAATATTCACTATGGAATATAATATTGCAAGCATTAACAGTTAGAGATTACTCTATAGGGAGTGGCACTTACCTTAAAACACATATTCATTCAGTTTTATTACTTTTGATATGCAAAATATTAAATTAAATGTTGTGTAGTAGAGTATGGTAATTGCCTGGGTTACTAATGGACTTAAGCTAAAACAATTTAACTTTTTGCTAAATAATTAGGAACAACACCAAACATGAATGGATGGAGAACAAAATAAGTTTGAAAACAAACTTTAAAGCACATCTTTCAATAATAGAATGGTTTTTTTTTTGGTTTTTTTAAAGATTTAAATACATTTTTCTCTGACAGCATCATACTACGAAGTTAGGTGCCATTTATCGTTGGCGAATATTTAGCATGTTAAGATAATGTTTACGATTAGACTGTCCCCAATTAATTTTAACTTATTAATCACCTTCGTACAACGACGATTAAGACAAATGCTGTGACTTCTTAGGTACCCAAGACTTAAATAAGAAACAAATGGTTATTACTGTGACATAGTTGGGTAGTCACTTACTGATGTGGGATAGTGGTATTAGCAAATGTGCAGTATAATTCTTGTAAAATAAAAATTTTTATATACCTTTTTACTGCTTCATCATGGCTGCTCTTCCATCAGTTTTGTACCCGGAGACAAATAAATACACATTCAATAGTTGGTTTTTTCCCAGTGTCTACCACGAACAATATATTGCAACAAACATGACTTCCTTTCAATGGATTGAAAACCTGAAAGAAATACCATATTATTTATAGTTAGACCTATGCACACAACTAAATTAGACCCATATCAATTTTTATATTTCTATTACTAATTACACTAACCGTATCGTTAAATAATGTTAATATTATCATAAGATATTTACTGTAGTTAAATTTTCTCTTTATTAAAAGAAAATATAAAAATTTACATTATTAACTTTAACAAAAATAGAAAATTATTACTGATGACACGACAGTGATGTGGATATTATACCACTAGCAGTATGTAGGCCTATGATATAAGATGAATTATTAAACACAATATTAATAAATAGCTGTTTTATTTTTGTGCTTGGTTCATGCAACCACATTTTAACAATAATATAATATAGACCTATTACAGCATTTCAACACAGGACGTGGCCATTTTGCAAAGGTAAGACTAGGCCTAGGCGATTAAAAATTACCGCTAATAATTAAAACTTAGCCCACACATCCAACTTGCAGTCTAGCCTAAACAAGTGAATAATTATGCTAACTATGCTCTTACACTACCCTACTCTAGAGCTACTACTACTAGGCTAGGGCAAGAGGGCCTGGCTGGCCTAGGTTATCCTAGCTAAAACAAATGATAACCAAATATATAAAGCAAGCCTAAACAGTTACGATATTGGGCTAGCCTAGATACACCCTGTAATATAGTATACAAATATAAAATTCTTACCATTTATTTGATAGTGCTGATAAATTCTGTAGTATGTAAACTGTGTATGAAGCCAACATACAGCAACTAATACAGTACTTCTAAAAATGAGCATTTGCTTCTGATTGGTCTGTACCTAATGATCTAATCCGATTAGCCCATTACTTGCCACACTTTCAAGGACGGAGAACCACAGGACCGGCCACACCGGCTATGGCCGAACCACTTTTTCTCAATTCCATTACTTTCTGAAATAAATATATAATGATAATTATGAATTATATGA